TGAGAATGGGTAAAGTTTTCTCATACATTGCTGGTAGAAAATAATAGGGCAATGGCTATTAAAATTGGTATTTTGAGCCCAAGTATATTTTTATTTTATTTCTGTGTGTGTTGGTGTTGGGATGTGGACCTACTCTTGAAGGCTAGAAAAGGGTGATTGGTCCCTGAGAGCTGGAGTTTCAGGTGGTTGCCAGTTGCCTGATAAAGATGCTGGGAACTGAACTCTGGTCCTCTGTAAGAACATTAAGTGTTCATATTCATTAAGCTACCTCTTCAGACATTCTTAGTTTATCTGTTTTTCAAGACAGTGCTTCTCTGTGTAGCCTGTGTATCCTGGATCTCATTCTGTAAAGACCAGGCTGCTCTTGAACTCATCTCTGTCTCCCAAGTGCTAGATTAAAGGTGTGCCTACTTTTAACTCAACCATTCTACTAGAATGTATTGTATAGGCAAACTGCGTGCACATTTTCCTTTCTGTAATAATTCATAGGGAAAAATCTTAAATATTCATCACTAAGGGTCTGTGATAACTTACTTGGTTGTCAGTCAACTATGAGACATGTAATTCTGTGAGAACATTTCATGGGAGCATTAAGTGAGGAAGATCCTCTCTTGGAGTGGCCCAGTCATAAAAACAAACCAAGGGAAAAGCAGTGTTTTTGCTGTCTGCCTTTGCTCTCTTCTGGTGAGTGCAGCTTTCTGTCTGACCCCATCCTCTACTCATCAGTGGTTTTTGACAAGCAGCAGTTCCTCAGGAATCCTCCAAGACTTCAGTACAGAACTAGGATTGCTTAGGCATCCAAACTGTATCATGTAAGCACATCCGATAAATCCCCTTTGTACTGTAAATTCAATCAATCGGTTCCTCTAGAGCAGTGGTTCCCAACTTTCCTAGTGCTGCAGCCCTTTAATACAGTCCCTCATGTTGTGGTCACCCCCAACTATAAAACTGTCATTGCTACTCTATTTCATAACTGTAATTTTGCCACTGTTAAGAATCACAATGTAATGTTTTTTAATGACTAACTGTAAAAGGCCCCTACACCTGACGCCATCTGGACACCCACTCTGGTGGGGGTGGCACCCATGCACCGCCATCCTGGGAAGCCATCACCGCTCATCTGTGCCTGCGGCTGAAAGAGGACAGGAAGGGTTTTCTTCAGAGTCTATTTTTTCAGCAACAAGGACCCCAGTCTTCTTGCCGCTGACAAGAAGAGCAGGGAGAGCGCAGCGTGCCAGATGAGCCCCAACACTGCCCGCCTTACCACTGCCCCGCCCGCCAACATCACCACTAACCCAGCCCTGCAGGCACCAAGGGGGCCTGAGCCACACAGTCTGTTCAGGCCCCTGGATGCCCATGCCCACCTACACCTGGGGCTGACCTGTGCTAGGCAGTGGCCATGGCCCAGTGTCATGTTGTGTTACTCGCCACACACCCACACGCTGCTTGACCACAGCAACCCCTTTCCAGTGCAGCAGATATCACTCTTCATCCTGGGACTAAGGCTGCAGCATTGGAACAAACACAGCATTATGTCACTTTTCCTTTCTTTCCCCTCCCCCCCCTCTTTTTTTTTTGTTCATTTAAACATGTATTTAGAACTGCACTTTGTCAGAGTCCTCCCTTCTCTTTTTACTCCCCGGTTAACTGAGGTTTTTACCGATTTCTAGAGCAGTTCAAACCCTAAGTGCTTGGTTGAACAAGGGAATCACAAGAAAATGAAAATGCAGACTGAACTTGGGGGTCGTTCTGTGCCTTCCAGCATCTTGTATAGCAAACCCTGACTTGTCTTTTTACCCCCAAAATATCATCTTCAGTAGCGATTGAATCTGCCACTATCAAAATACCGTTGCTTGCATTTATTCCAAATAATCTCGTTTACTCTTAACTGTTTATGCAAATCGTATAAGGTTTCTTATGCCCAAGCTTGAAAAATGATTTCCCAGTAGACAAGAGGCCACCGCCCATCCTCCATTTGTGTTTATTTACATGAGAAGATCACACACAGAAGCCCTCTGCTCCAGTCCTAACCCGGCAGCCATGAGCTGAGGGGAGGTAGAGATGGCTTGTGCAGGTACAAATGACCTCAAGGACTGCTGCCTGCAATTGGAGACTGCTAAGCCCTGACATTTTGGTGCTGAGGTCATCTGCAGGGTCTTGCCCTTGGTTTACTGAGGGGGCTGGGCTGCTTCCGGGCCCCCCTTCTGAAGTGCAATGTAAAAGGGACATCATGTATACACTGCGTTTATTTGGAGTTTTTCTTTGGCTTTTTTTTTTCCCCTCTCAATTATGAAACTTGTATGCATGGATTTCCCATCTCCGTAGCTAGACCTACCCATGGGCATTATGACTGTGTCTCCTAAAGGGTCAGTTTTGTTACACAACACAAAGAATGCTGTTCTCAGCCCTGATTTTCTAGAGTTGTGTTTTTCAGTCATTTCTTCAAGGAAAACTAAATGATTTAGTTGGAGAAAAAAAATCATAATGTAAATATCTGACATACACAACATCCGATATTCAACCTGTGAAAGGGGTCTCAACCCACAGCTTCAAAAGCACTGTTCTAGATAGAGACTGCTAATACAAGGCCTCATCGAATTAAGTTACATCCAAATACCATGCAGAAATAGAGAATGAAGCTCTTTGTGGACAAATAAGCTCCTAGATAACTAAGCAAAGAATTTAAATTTATCATACCATTTTGGTAAAAAAAAAAGTAACATTGAACCAGGTACATACATGTAATCCCATCATGCACAGCAGAAGGCTTAACTGCTGCCTGTCTGAGAGCAGCTTGGGGATCTACAGCAAACCTGTCTCAAGGGAAACTTTTTTTATACTTGCAAAAGAGCTTGCCTAGTACATACAAGGCACTGACTCCATTCCTAGCACCACACAAGCTAGAGGAGGTAGCAGATGTGACAAACACCAGTAGTTTACACACTTGGAATGCAAATGTCAGTCAGTTCAGGTCTGTTACTGTCTCAAAATCTAAAATCCAATCTAAGAAACTGATTGTTTCTGCCTCCAGGACAGGAATCTGGCAGGCAGATCAGGCTGGACTTGAACTTAAAAGATCCACAGCCTCTGCCTCCCAAGCACTGAAATGGAAGGTACCAGCAAAAGCAGACCTCTTAAATGCAGCTTTTGAGACAGGCTGATCCTCTCTTGCTTACCTCCAAGTGTGAGGGCAATAGGTGTACATTGATCCCCAGCTATACAATTTGTGTGCTCCCTAGTACACCATTTAATTATATACTTCAGTGATAAAATAGATCAGTGTACATACCTGTTCCTTGTTTGACTATCACTATGAAAACTGGGCATCCTTGTAACCTCGGTACTCAAGGCCAACTTGGGCTATATATTTAGATTGTCTCACAAAGAAACCAACTGTATAGGCAGAGATAGATGGACCCCAGTTAAGCGAGTCACAAACCTGCCAGGGCTACACAGATCTTTCTCAAGACAAGAATAGCTTGAGTGTAGATGCATGCCCACTATGATCCTGGTAGATGGAAGTAGGAGTTAAATGACAGCCTCAGCTAATTGAAACCATCTGAAATAAAATAAACTTTAGTGGTGATCACAAAACATCTGATAGGATTCCAATTCACACAATTGTGTGTGGGGAAAAAAAATACAATGAAATACTTCATTTGCTAGGGACTTTAGCTCCTAGCACAAAAAGCTGAGGATAAACTTAACAAGACCCCTCTAGGAGCTGTGTGGATAAACCAAGGATGGAAGGCAAAGGCAAGCTTCTGCGATGCTGACAGGCCTGTAGCAGGAAAGCTTTTCCAGTGAGCCAGTGTCAGGTGTTTCCTAAATCTTAGTAACTGCTACAATCTCTCTCAAATGTTTGCCATTTCTACCAATAGTATTTTTTATAGGCTTTAACATAAGATAACATAAGATCCACTTGTTTAATAGACATTTATTACTTTAGTTGAACCTCTATACACAATGATTTGTTTTGCTGAATAGAAAAGAATTCTAAGTCTCAAGATTGAGTCCAGTATTTTTTGAAAGCCAGTAAAATCATCCTCTAAAATGTGGAGGAAAAAAAAAAATCAGTTTAAAAGCGTTTCTCTTATCAGGCCTGCTAGCTCTGATCTGTGATAAGGGCAATACTGTCTATTTTTCCCATAGTCAAACACATTTTAGTAGGTAGTATGCCTTTGTGAAATATCAACAACTTCCATTAATATGCCAGGTGTAAACAACCCCAGGCACTAAGACTGTAAACAAAGTCATACTGCCAACCTTTTACCCCCAAGATAAATTGACCAGTCTAGGATTGATCTTTAAATTCACAATCATCCTTGCTATGTGGCTAGAAGTAATGATTACATACTAACTTGATAACAACTTTTAAAAATCTGCCCAAGTACAACCCCACTATACCACCCCTAAATATACCCCACCCCATCCAATGTTCAGTCTCCAACAACCTCAAAATATACAGGTTGTCAACACAAATTACTGGGCATCAGACCCATACTCCACAGAGATCCAAAAGAACAGGAAACCTCTTCCAAATCTACCTGGTTCTGAAAATGGGACACTGTATTCAGTTTCCAAAATGTGGGTTGTGGTTGATCCCTTTTCTATCTATGCACACAAAACAGAAAGCTTCTCTTACTAGAGATTTCTAAGCAAAACTCAACTGTAAAAGTGTGTACTCACCAAACTCCCAAGCAAACAGTTACTTCAATGAACCAGAAGATTGCATAATTCCAACAAAGCTATAGGTTCTATAACATGCAACAAACACATCTAAGTGTAGCCTTAGGACTCCTTCTACCCGATTCTACATGTGGGATACCACATGGTGTAAACACCATACACTTAACCCCCAAGCAGATAATGTAGGCAGTTTTTTCAGAAACAAGGTATGCCATCACTTGTAGTCAAACATTGCACTTTCACTGCTAAAATTCACAAAACATCCGCGACAACCTGCAGACTAGTTGACAAACCACACCTTTAAGCAGACATGACGGTCCTAAATTGTTTATTGGATATGAAATTTTACAAACATTGAGTATATTAGCGGTAACGGTGGAGCTGCAGAGTGTTGCGCCTTCTCCAGGCTGCACGACGAGAGCCGCCAATAGTGTGGTGGAACTTGTGGCCCTTTCCAAGGCCACGGCTCTTGCGGCCAGCAGATGTCAGCCCACGCATCTCTCTGTGCTTGTGGACTGGTTTGGTGATCCACTGGGTGTCAGGGTTCCTTCTGATAGCTTTATGGAATGGATCAATGAGGATAACCTCAAAAAACTTATACGTGGAATCTTCACCAACCCAGTAAGAATTGAGGACTCTCAAAGCTCCACAATGACGGCCAGCTCTCTCCTAAAAACAGGGGGGAAAGCCCAGTCAGTCTTGGGTACTGCTTACAGCAGCAAATCAGACAAAAATCCTTTCTTCTAACTCTGGGTCATCAGGGACTGAGGCAGACCAGGTCCCCACACACTGTAAGTCCTACAGACTAGCTCAAACGACAAGTAGACAAAAACACATCATTCCCTCTCCCTGCCCAACTAAGATGCTAACCCCAGACATGGAGTTTTGAGTACTGCCTGGGACGTTCAATAATAGGGATCAAGCCCGTGGTCTTATACAAGAGTGGAAAGCTTCCAGCATTTGGAAAGGGGTCTCCTACAGCAGAGCACAGCTTAGCAACCCAAAAGAACAACTGCCTTCAAAAGCTTAGGTTCTGCAGGTCTTGGCTCATTTAAACAAAAATGCCTCTCAGCATATACTTAAGCACCAAACAGCAACAGTTTTGATAATGCTCTCTCCTTGCCAAGACTAAGTACAAAACACCTCCAGCTCCACTTCACATCCAGAGAAGCTCCATCACGTTGCCCCATTTCTTCTAGACGCCACCCCAATGGGTTTCCAAGACAACCGGTAGGTACAATCTATTTACCTCAGCAACAGACTGAAGGCTTCGGGCAAACTTTAGCTGGTTAACACCATGATGGACAGGCTTGCCGTAAGTTGCACCCTTAGGAACTGGGCGTTTGCGGCCACCACGGCGGACACGAATCCTATATATGACATAACCTATACACACACAAAAACCAACAGGTGAGACTTTCCCAATGCATCCCGTTACACTTAACTAAATTCACCGTGGGGTGGGGACACCGTGGGGCAGAGGTGTGGGACGTCACGCACCTTGCTTGGCCTTGTACCCCAGCCTTCGCGCTTTATCGGGCCGGGTGGGGCGGGGAGCCCTGTGCAGCGCAGAGAGCTGGCGGTATTGCCAGCACCGGACCCTCAGCAGAAAGCGCATCACGTCGGACTGCTTCTTCCTCCATAGCTCCTGGATGTACTTGTATGCGCCCATCTTGGCTCACCTTTGAGAGGAAGCACATTGGAAAAGCGATCGCTGTCAGGCCGTGATGACAACTGGGCCGTCCGTCCCGGCGCCCCACCTTCCACGGGGAATGAGAACGGCCCCGCTCGGGCAGCAAAGCGCAGCTGCCGATTCGGCCGGACCGACTCTCCCGAGCTCGGGGAGGGCAGCCAGGGCTGGCCGCAGGGATGTGACCGCCGCCGCCGGCAGGAACAAAACCCGGAAAGCTTCGCCCCACGCGGCCGGCCTGGCCAGGCCTCCTTCAGGCCCGGGCCCAGCTCGGATCCTGCCGCCATCGCGTCTCCCCTCCAGCCTCCCGGATGGCAGCGTCTTCGCGCCCTCTCCACCCCGCATCCTGACTGAACGCTCGTGGGAAGCGGCAGCTCCGAGGCGGTAGCGCCGCCAGGGCCGGATGGCTGAAGACTAGCGCGATTCGTGGCGGATAGAAACGCAAATACAGACCGACCTGCCTACCTGATGGCTGCCGCCAGAGGAAAGGAAGAAGCCTTTCTCCCACAATCCCTTTTGTGGCTCCTCCCCCACCTCGGGGGCTCTCCTTCCGGTGGGGCGGGGTGGCCGCACAGTGCCTCATGGGGCTTGTAGTTCCGACGTCCAATCTGGTGGGCGGAGTCAGGCTGGGACCCCTCGTCGCTTCCGGATGTCCTCCGCCGGCTCTCAGCATTGCCTCGGAAACGCAAAGGACTAGCGAGAGAGGCGAGAGGCGTTGCGCCAGTGTGCGTCGCGGGTGCGGGTCGGCTCCAGAGCGGCGTCCGCGGACCGCAGTGACCCGCGTGCCTCTGTCTCACTGCTGCGCAGTGTCAGGTTGGTGTTCTCGGCCGGCTCCGCTCCGTGATCGCGGAGCAGCGTGACCGCAGCACAACCACCGGGTGGGCGTAGGCGCCAGTGGCTGCACGCGTGGGCCTCGCGCGTGTCCTTGAGGCTCGCCGACCCAAGCCGAGCGGGTGGACCCACCCTCCCTCTGATTTTCCTGTGGTGGATGGGAGTCCGGAGGTGCTAACGTCAGAACGCAGGTGCTTTAAGTGATGATGTTTTTAAGAGCAGCAAATTGTTCTTTATCAAGCCCTCTTAGGTGCGGCTGTTTCGGGAAGAAATGCCCAGAAGGCTGGCATTCTGCATTGCGTTCTTTATTAAGAAATAATGGTTTTGGAGTTTTTGCAGCTCCAGGATTTTCTTTTTTTTTTTCATATAGTCTTGCAGTTTTAATAAAGTCTACTCAAGTTTGTGGCCAAGGTTCTGGAATCATGTTTACCTTTTACATCAGTCTGTGGCTTAGTTCATCTTTAACATAAACAACAGCTTTGGCATTGTAAGAATCCTCCTCACCTGTCTTAATATGGGCTGGGCGCAGTCTTGGCTGTTGGCGATGCAGCTGCAAACAATGCACAAGTTCCAGCCTTGGGAGCAAACGTCAATAAATAAATTAAATACTAAGCTATGTGTTTAATTTGGTGTCAGGGACACACATTGAGGAAGTGAAGGGGTATAGACCAATAGGGTGACAGTTGGCCCATTGTCCCAAGAGGGAGGCCCTGTTCAGCTGAGCCCTTGCTGGGAGGAGGGGGATCCTGATGTAGCCAGTGGAGTCTGGACATGGGTGGAAGAAATCTTTCAATGAACTGCCTCACTTTTTTTCTCTTTTTAGCACATGTAGTGTAGCTTGCAAGTTAGGATGAAGTGCTCAGGATGAGCTTTCTCATCCCCTCTCCTATCCTCCCCCCGTCCCCCCTAACCCCCCCCCCCAGATCGCTAAAGGTTATCTGGGACTCTGGGGCAGCTGTCATCCTACTGCTTTATACCCCTCATTCCCACAGTGTGTCCTGTGATCAGATTGGTGACTACCCCATCATCAGAGAGCCTTCATCCAGTAACTGATAGAAACAGATGCAGAGACCCACAGCCAAACATTAGCTCGAGCTCAGGGAATCCTGGTGAAGAGGAGGAGGAAGGATTGTAGGAGACAGAGGTCAAGGACATTACAAGAAAACCCACAGACTCCGAACCAATAACCAGGGACTGTCCTAGGCCCTCTACATATATGTGACAGTCAGGTAGCTTGGTCTACTCGTGGGGCTCCTAATAATGGAAGCAAAGGTTGCCCCTAACACTTTGACTGGCTCCTGGGAATCTATTCCTCCAAAGGGATCGCCTTGCCCAACCTTACTTAATACAAGGGGAAGTGCTTAATCTTACCTAAACTCGATATGCCAAGCTCTGTTGGCACCAATGAGAGGCCTGCCCCTTTCTGAATAGAAACAGGAATGGATTGGGACTTGGGATGGAGGGTGATGGGGGAGGGGATGAGAGGAAGAGAAGGGAGGGGAAACTGGTCAGGATGTAAGATAAATAAATAAATTGATTTTAAAAAGATTTCTTTTTTGGGACAGTCTTAATTTCCTTTTTAGGATTTATTGTTAGTTTCTATGTTTGCTTGCATGCATGTGAATGCGCTCTGGGACGGGAATGCACAGTGCTTGTAGGTGCTGGACCCTGAAGATGCATGCTCTGCTGGAGCAGCAGGCGCTCTAGCTACTCAGCCTCTCCAACCTCCGGATCAGGTTTCTTGAGAAAATAACATTGAAGAAGAAACTACAAGTCTGTGAATGGGAAACCAAACCTCAAGGTTTTAAGTTGGGGTACAGATGACTGAGACAGAGGGCTAAATGACAAGACAGAAGCATACCAGGACTGACAGACAAAACAGCAAGTGGTGTTTTGGAATCAAACCCAAGGAGCTTGGAAACCACTAGACAGTTCTGAGGATGAAGGTTAGATTTTAATAATCTAATTTAGATGGTTTGAGGCTAAAAGGAAAGAGAGAGTAGACTAAAAAGCCTAGTGAGATGGCTAGGTTAGTTTCCCCAACAGGTATTTTTTTGAGATACATATTTATTTATTTATTTATTTATTTATTTATTTATTTATTTAGGGTTTCTCTGTATTGCTTTGGAGCCTGTGCTAGACCTAGCTCAGTAGACCAGGCTGGCCTCTAACTCACAGAGATTCACTTGCCCCTGCCTCCCAAGTGCTGGGACTAAAGGCTTGTGCCTTCAATGCCCTGCTGGAGATACATTTTTGTTTCTCTTTTGTTTTTGCTATATAGCTTTAACTGTCCTGGGAACTTGCTTTATGCACCAGGCTAGCCTCCAACCTGCACAGGCCCTGCCTGCTTTTCCCTCAAGCGAGGAGGCTGTGCTTGCTCCACACTTACCATTTTACAGTCTGTAGATCAGAGATATCACCAGATTAAAGCCATGGTGTTGGGGCTGCAGAGATGGCTCAGCCGGTAAGAGCACTGACTGTTCTTCCAGAGGAGGTAGGTTCCGTTCCCAGCACCCACCCAACGTGGTAGCTCACAACTGTCTAACTCCAGTTCCAGGACTTCGGACAGCTTCACACAGACATACGTACAGGCAGACACTGGTGATTATTAAATAAAAACAAATCAATAACTAGTGTCAGGAAGAACAGCAACCCAAGGCCACCTGCATCCCTTGGCTGCTGGCTTCTTTGCCCTGCCAGTCAGTCATTTCCTCTCCTGTAAAACTTGTTTCATAAATACACTTGTGACTGATCTCCATCTCCCTCTTGATTCCTGTGTCTCAGAGTTAACTCAGTCACACATGCAAAATTCCTCTTCAAATAAGGGCTCAAAGGTCTCCAGGGTCAGGATGGGGACATCTTTGAGAGTCCCTTTCTATAAAAGTGGGGGTGGGAGCTGGAGAGATGGCTCTCTGGTTTAGAGGACTGGGTTCCATCAATTGCACCCACATAACAGCCCTTCCTGGCTTCTAGGGTACCAGGCATGAGGATGGTGCACAGACATACATACCAGCAAATCACCCTTATATATTAAGCCACTGTGCAGGTGCTGGGAATCAAACTCGGGTCCTCTGCAAGAGTAGCCAGTGTCCTTAACTGTGGAGCTATTTCTATTGCCCCTTAAAAGTTGTTTTGTTTTTAATTAAGCCAGGCAGGGTGATACACACTTTTAATCCTGCATTTGGGAGGCAGATGTAATAGAATCTCCAAGTTTGAGGGCAGCCTAGTGAGTTCTAGGTAGCCAGAGCTACACAGTGAGATACTGTCTCAAAACCTTGTGTAGCTTTTGAGCCTATCCTGCAACTCACTGTAGACTAGGCTGGCTTTGAACTCAGAGATCTGTAGAAGTTGAGAGGACAACCTTTGGAAATTGGTTATCAGATTCAGGTCATCAGACTGGGTAGCAAGTGTTTTTACCCATTGGTGAGCTGGGGTTTGAGATATTTACCTCTGGTTGTTCTGGAACTTCCCGCCTCTGCCTCCCAAGTGCTTCAATTAAGGGCAGCGCCACCATGCCTGGCTTACATTTGACCTTTTTTTTAAGATGTGCATTGGTGTTTTGCCTACCTGTATATATGTGTGAGGGTGTCAGATCCCCTGAAACTGGAGTTACAGACAGTTGTGAGCTACTATGTGGGTGCTGGGATTTGAACCTAGGTTCTCTGGGAGAGCAGCCAGTGATCTTAACCCCTGAGCCCTGACATTTGACTTTTCAAAAGTGACTTTCCTGTTGTTTTTAATGAACCATTAGCCTTTTTACCTTAGCTGCCAATATCCAGTCTTTCCGAAAACGAAAGCCTTAAGGAAAATGTTACCTTCCTCGTGGTAATCCTCCAGCCTCCGCACTCTTATGTTCCCAAGTTCTGGGATTGCAGGCATGTGTAGCCATGCCTAGATACCAACATCGAAGGTGATCTCTGACTCACTATGTAGCTGACTTAAGATCCTCCATGTTCTGAGTGCTGGGGTTACAGGCATCTCCATTTAGGGGTTTTACAGTCTATCCAGATGATTTCTATGGCAATATTTGAGAAACTCTTAACAAATAGCTTGGAGAATAGAGTGTGGAAAGATTATCCTATTCTGTAATCGTTGGAGTTTCCCCTGTACTGTATTACTGGTTCAACTTTAAGGGAAGGAAAGGATTTATTTCACATGTCCACTGTTAAAGTCCCTCCATTTTCTCCACAGTGCTGTCCTGAGACGATGGGAAAGGGCTGCAAGGTTGTCGTTTGCGGGTTGTTGTCTGTTGGGAAAACTGCAATTCTGGAGCAACTGCTTTATGGGAATCACACTATTGGTAAGAGTCTCTTTCTTAGTTTCTTAGATTCTGGAACTTTTGGTCATGCTAAATGGTTCAAAAGGAGTGTAAGTAGAGAAAAGGAAACTGGTTTATTTATTGATTGATTGAAATTCAACAGTGCTTGCTACAGATTATGTATCAGGTCAGAAAGCAAATGGCAGGTAGGCATGAGCGATACTGGAGTACTGTGCATCAGTATTGAAAGGGGGTCTAGGAATCCTAGGGTCTCTGAGGCAGTAACATCGAGTGATGGTCTTCTTCAGGCACAGTGTTCTAATGCTGCTGTATAGGTTTAAAAACAAAGAAATGGCTGTTTATACAATACAACCTCATTTTGTAAATTGGGATTATCTCATTCATTTATTCCTTCCATGAGTACACTGTTTCCTATTTTCTTAATCATACTGTATGTGATGGTGCTTCATAGAACTGCAGAGGTGAAGAAGATGGTATTTATGGCTTTAATGAGGTCATGATCTTGATCTTGATAAAGAAGATATACATGTTAAAATGAGCTTAGGTATATGTAAATTAGTAAATACAAATCTTCAGAGCATTTCTTTCTGGTACATAAATTAGAACATAATTTTTATGTTTTATTAATCACTTTGATGCCTTTTTTTTTTTTTTTTTTTTTTTGTCCTGAGACAGGGTTTTTCTGTAGCCTTGGATTTCCTGGAACTTACTGTGAGACTAAGCTGGCCTTAAACTCAGAGATTCCCCTGCCTCTGCCTCTCAGGTTCTGGGATTAAAGGTGTAAGCCACCCCACTCCACCCTCAAAGGATGACCTTTGTTTCTTTCTATTTTTTCCTTTGTTTCTTTCTATTTTTTTTTTAAGATTCATTTATTTATTATGTATACAATGTTCTCCCTGCAGGCCAGAATAGGGCAGCAGATCTCATTACAGATGGTTGTAAGCCACCGTGAGGTTGCTGGGAATTGAACTCAGGACCTTTGGAAGAGCAGGCAGTACTCTTAACCACTGAGCCATCTCTCTGCCCCCCAAATACTCTACTCTTCTCTCTCTCTCTCTCTCTCTCTCTCTCTCTCTCTCTCTCTCTCTCTCTCTCTCTCTCTCTCTCTCTCTCTCTCTCTCTTTTGGCTTCTTGAGACAGGGTTTTCAGAGATTTCCCCTTGCCTCTGCCTCCCAAGTACTAGGATAAAAGGCATGTACCAGTATGCCCAGTTAGTTGGCCATTGCAAAGATTAAAGGATGATTTGTGGAATCAGTTTTCTCCTGCATTTTAGTGGGTCCCAGGAGTTGAACTCAGGTCACCAAGCTTGAGAGCCATCTTGATGGCCCAAAAAATATTTTTAGAAAAACAAGATACTTTTGGATGAATGATTGCTTTTCATTTTGAAGGAATTAGTAAAGTAGAAATGTGATTATTACATATGGTACATGGGAAACCTAGAAAGCCAGTCTCAAAAGGACAGGGAACTAGTGAATAACTGACCCTGGGTTTTTGTTTGTTTGTTTGTTTGTTTTGAAACGGTCTCACTATGTAACCTTGGCTGGCCTGGAATGTGTAGCGAGATCTACCTGCCTCTGCCTCCTGAGTGCTGGGACTAAAGGTGTGTGCCGCCATGCATAACCGAGCATGGGTCTTTTTACTATAGGAATGGAAGACTGTGAAACAATGGAAGACGTGTACATGGCCTCAGTGGAGACAGACCGTGGGGTGAAGGAACAGCTCCACCTATATGACACACGCGGCCTGCAGGAAGGTGTGGAGCTGCCAAAGCACTATTTCTCCTTTGCTGATGGTTTTGTTCTTGTGTACAGTGTGAATAACCTTGAATCCTTTCAAAGAGTGGAGCTTCTGAAGAAAGAAATTGACAAGTTCAAAGACAAAAAAGAGGTAAGTGCCTATTTCGGATGCCAAATGTGAAGTCTAGTACTGTTAGAATTGTAGTGTAGCATTTTATGTAGTTCACACATTGAAAAGCCATTCAGTTTTATTGGCAGGATCTGCAAACATGGGGTATGTAGGACTGGCTGAATCCTTTTGGCACAAGGTGTACTTTCTAGCTCCCTAGCTCAGGTCCTGCATAACCCAGTCACGTGTGGGAGTGTGGGATCATTGCTTCTCCAAGCTTTTAGGATATCTGTGGCACAATAGGACTTGTCATCTTCAACATAAAAAATCACACACACACACACACACACACACACACGCTAATAACTAGTCATCAGCTCCTATTTGCCACTTTTCTTCTGCCTGGAATTCTCTAGAGTCACAGACCTTTACATTTCACCCAGCTCAGTCATCATCCCTGGATCCAGGTAGCACACTGGTTAATAGCAATGATAGATTGTTTCACCACAGATTCATTCATTCATTCATTCATTGGGTTTTCAAGGCAGAGTTTCTGTGTAACAGCTCTGACTGTCCTGGAACTCACTTTGTAGACTAGCTGGCACCAAAATTGTAGAGCTCTTGGCTGGCCTGCAATGCATAGAAATCTACCTGCCTCTGCCTCCTGAGTGCTAGGATTAAAGGCTTGTGCCAATATGTCCAGCAGATTGGCCATCTTTAAAGAAAAATAAGTTATGCTAAAGACTTATTTTAATTATGTATAGGGAGAGCTGGGAAGTATTATATGCACATGAGTGCAGGTGCCTGGAGAGGCCAGAAGAGGAATCTGGAGCCAGACTCATGAGCCACAAATATGTCCTCTGAGAGTAATATGTGCTCTTACCACTTAGTGATCTTTCTAGTCCCAAAGTTGAACATTTTTTAATTTTTGTTACTTTTTTTTAAAGACAGGGTCTCACTGTGTAGCCTTGGCTGGCCTATAAATTTCTGTATAGACCAGGCTGGCCCTGAACTCACAAAGATCCACCTGCCTCTGCTTCCCGAGTGCTGGGGCTAAAGGCATGTGCCACCACACCTGGCCTTTAAAGTCGTCATTTGAATACTATACTGACTATAGACATTTGGGGAAAAAGACAAGAAGGAAAGCCAGTGAACAAGAGAAAAAGCAAGGGTAAGTAAGGGTGTCCAGAAAGCAAATGAAGCCAGCACTTCAGAAGCAGGAAGTGACACATGTCAAGTTCTCAAGGCTGTCAGGAAGGCTAGGAACTAAAAATTATTGGGTCTTTAATATGTGGATGTTAGGGCAAACTCTAGGAAACTAATGAGAAGCAGCCTGGCTGGACGTGGGATAAACAAACATAGAAGCTACCAATAGCTCTTTGAATAGTTTTACAATAAAGGTGACCAGGCCCTGGAGAAGGATGTGGCATTAGAAGTGTGTACTTAGATAATACTAACAGATAGGAGTGACACTCATCCAAGTAATAAAGGATGGGTGGTTCTAGAGTCACGGAGATGGGCTTGGAAGATGGCCTGGTACGCTGGTGGAAGAGGTTCTCTTCCAGTTTTAATTCTTCCTGTAAAATAGCAGGGTCATCAAGCTAAAGGAAGAAAAGTAGTTGGAAAGACCACGGTCTGAGATGTCATCTGGCTAAAGACATTAATGCGGCAATTTGTTGGAGGATAGGAACCAGAGATGAGTGATTATGACGTGGGTAACCCCACTCCCTCCAGCAGGGCTAAAAGTGAAATTTAACATAGGGTTTACCAGGAATGTGGTGGTGTAACTAGGTGATGAAAATACTCTGGGCAGGATGAGGGACTTTGGATGTGAGGTAGACTGCAACTAGAGGTAGCAGAGCCAGAGGATTCATCCCAGTGATAGTAGGACTGGCTGCCGTTAGGCACAAGGAGGAAGATAGGATTGGTGTGGGCAGCCTGGAATTGAAATCTTTCATAACGGTCTAGGGAGTGACTATGGGAGGGAATAACTGATCAGGAAGAAACTAGGATCATCAGGAAAGTCAACACCAAGAGACCAGGTTATGGAAGCATGTACACAAGGAAGGAATGACATTGTTAGGGACTAGGACCACAGTAGTGACTCTGTGACCATGGAATTAGTCTGTGATTGGCAGCAGCATGTGGGTGGGGTTTTGGTAGGTAGGTATGTTGGACTAGGGGCACTAGCCTTCTGCAGAAGTTGTTAGGATGGGACTCTGTGATGGCTCATGTTATGCAACTTGACACAAGCCAGGCATTTGGGAAGAGGGGATCTCAAGGAAGTGCCACCACCAGACTGGCCTATAGGGTGGCATCTTAATTGATGATTGATGTGGGCAGTGACATAATGGGCAGTGACACTCCTGGTTGTGGTGCTGGGTGCTTTGAGAAAGACTGGGCAAGTCATAGGGAACCAGCCAGTAAGAGTACTCCTCCTGTTTCTTTCCTACCCTGACTTCCCTCAGTAATGGACTGGGACCTGGGACTTGTAAGCTGAAACAAACCCTTTCCTTCCAAATTGGTTTTAATCAGTGTTTTATCACAGCCACAGAAACCCTTAGTAGGGTAGATTCTGTTGGAGCAGCACTGGAGAACATAACGATACTGCCTCCTCCAGGGTTGTCTCCCAGAGCCCAGGACTTCCCTTGAGGCCAGGGAGGGACAGCTGTGTTTCAGTGCTCTGCTCAGGACTGCTGCCCACCCCCAGCCCCTTCCTTCACCAGCCTTACCATCTGAAGCTTGGTGCAGTGTGGTTCTATGCTATGTTCTAGTCATGCCAAGGACTGACTGCCTGTTGGGTAGTTAAATGCATGAAGTACTTGTACATAATGTAAAATGTTCCTCCTGGCTCACAGTTCACAGGATATTTAGTATGCACCTTTAAGGACAGAATAACCAGGAACACCCCACCACTCTAAAGCTACAGAACTCATAGCTCTGCAACGTCTTTACCTTGAAGCAGGGTAGTCATGGTAAGCCATGGTCCTAGACTGGATGGTAATTTCCAGGTCCGTTAACCAGAAGCTAGTTAAAAATCTGTACTGTTTGTATGACTCAGGTTAAAGAAGTGAGGTGATGCCTTCTCTTACTTCTGTCATGTCCGAGGATGCCTCCACCAGCCTAGTACTATGGACTAACCTAGGGCCTTATACTTGCTAGTCAAGTTCTCTACATCCCCAGTCTTTTATTTTTTAAACTTTGTTTTTGACAGAGTCTAAGTTGCCCAAGCTGGCCTTGAACTTGCAACCCTCCTGCCTCAGCTCCAGAGCAGCTGAGGTTCCTGGCTCTCATCACCTCAGTGTCATTTAAGTAAAACAGTCTGCTAACTGAAGAGTGATTCTTCTCATCCACTCTGCACAGAAACTGTCACTGACTGTGACTCGTGTGGTCTTTCCATCATTTTCTTCCAGGTGGCAATTGTTGTGTTAGGAAACAAAATCGACCTTTCTGAGCAGAGACAAGTGGATGCTGAAGTGGCACAGCAGTGGGCAAGAAGTGAGAAGGTGAAGCTGTGGGAGGTGACAGTGACAGACCGCAGGACACTGATTGAACCCTTCACTTTACTAGCCAGCAAGCTTTCCCAGCCCCAGAGCAAATCCAGCTTCCCTTTGCCAGGGAGGAAAAACAAAGCGAACTCCAATTCTGAAAACTGAGTCAAGCCTTGAATGTCTGTAGCATGGCACAAGGTTGCGATTTAGCATGGCCCTTTACAAAACCACCTCTGGGCCTTCTGGACCCCTAAGTGGTAATTCGATGCACTTTATGTTACAATTAACTTATTGGGCTAGTTTATTATTGTTGAGCATATTTTGTCTTTATTTGAAACCTGTTCTTGAAATCAGCATCTTTGTTACTTGTTAAGTCTTGTCATTAATAATAAAATAAAATTTGGAGCAAATGCAATGTACCATGGGAAACCCTTCCAGCCTGTCAGGAACTGTCATATTCATTGTAATTTTATGCAAATTCCTTAGTGTGAACATAACTTCAAAGACATGTATGTATGTGGTATGTGTGTATGCAGTCCATTCTTCCATCTGTGCGTGAGTTCCAGGGGTCACGTGAGTTCCAAGGTTGCTGGAAGAGACTGCTGAGTAGTTAAGATTGATGCTCTTGCAGAAGACCCCGGTTCAATTCCTGGTACCTACGTGGTGGCTTACAACCACCAGTTACTGATCCCAAAGGATCTAGTGTCCTCTCTTGGCTTCCTCAGGTACTGCATGCACAGTGTCCATATATACATGCAGGGGAGACCACTCATACACATAAAATATTTACATTTTTTAGAAGTTAATCATCTAATGTCTAATGTTTAAAAGTTGGCAACTGTTTTGTGTACCCAAGTTGTATCAATAACAATTTGGATCTACATGAGTTAAATTCTTATTTCACATAGACTTTACTGAATAGAACAAAAGTCATGGTTTTGTTTTGCTCTATTAAGTATAATAGAACTTAAATTTAGGATAAGTAGGCTTTTCAGAACCCTGTTTTTATTCTATAACTAGGCCTGTGCTTATGATAAAACCGAATACTAGAGGATCTTCTTTTGAAACTGGCTAGGCTGAGGTACAGGAAAGAACCCCTTTTCTTCTGATAACCTTGTCATATACAATAGTATGTCAGACACCAAGCTACCATTAGTCTTAATTATTTATCTGAGTTTGTACTGTTGTTTATGGAAGATCTTAGCAAAATCTGAACAGTGTGGGACACTGTGTTTAAAAAGCTTGACAGCACTATACTAAGAACTAGGAAATAAGCTATTTGAGGTTTCAGCTATAAGTCAGCTTTTAACCATCTAACTGAAAAGCAAAATATGAAATAAGCTATAGTAGAGAATGCATTAAGGCAACAAGTAAAGTATAGCATTTTCAATGCAGTGGCTTTAACAGTGGCCGTCTCAGCCCACTGAGTATAGAGCATATTGCTAGACATTGGTGTGTTGGCTTTTTTGTTGATAGTCCTGCAGACTGAACTCAAGCTTCACACACCTGTCACTAACCTTCTTACCTTTGAGAAAGGGTTTTAATAAATTTTTTAGGTGGAATCCTTGTGTCCTAGACAACCCTGAATACTGATATTACAGACATCAGGTTTGCCCTGCCATCTCCCTTTAAAGACACGGGTTTATAACCCTGGCTTGTTTGGATTATGTAGCCCAGGCCAACCTTGAACTCAAAGCCTTCCTCAGCTGAGATTAAAGGTGTGTACCACTATGCCCAGTCTTGGCCAGTTCTTAAACAAAACAAAACAAAACTGTTTTCTCTTTTTGATTATCACACAGATATTAAGTCACTTCTCCAGCCTGCCCTTCAAGGCATTATTCTACTTGCCTTTTCCTCTTAGATACTGCATATAGAACCCTGCCAGCAGTTTGGTTTTTTCTCAACTGCATTTAGATCTTATGCCTTAATGCAATAGAATTTGTTACCATGTTTTTAAAATGATAGAGTGAACATGTCCTAGGTTAGTATTCCTTTTTCTGAGACATGATCTCAGGTAGTCCAAGCTACTCTCAAGGTCAGTGTATAGCTGAGGATGACCTTGAACTCTAATCCTCTGGCCTCCACCCACAAGCTGTGATGCTCAGCTTTTACCTACATGTGTCTGGAGAAGTGTGAAGCAGCAGTACTACCAAGTCACAGAAACTGCCCTGCAAGGTGGTAACACCAATTGACCAGGGTAGCTCATTTCTTACATTCCCGCTGCTACTGCATCTACAAATTGGATAATGCTTTCAGGAATATGGGGTGAGTTTATATTTGAAGCTTAGCTGGCTCTAACTGCTTATTTTGTTGTTTTTGGTTTTGGTTTCTTGAGACAGTTTCTCTGTGTATCTCTGAAGTCTGTCCTGGAACTCCAGAGTACCTCCTGCCTCTGCTTCCCAAGTGCTGGAATTAAAGGTGTGCCCCACCATGCCCAACTCTAATATTTTTAAAGATATCTCCAAATCTGCTGTGTAAGTACCTGTCCTGGCATATTAAGTAGTATGTATTCCTTAACCTGCTCCAGAGGCAAAGACTCTGTGGAGAGGAAATGAATACAGAAGGGTCAGGGTTGTTCTTAATATTGTTTATTAGCACAGTAACAAATGCAGACGTAAGAAGTCTAAAACACATAACCAGTCCACTGAGCAGTTCCTATTCCACGCCTACGGTTAACAGCTTAAGGTATTTCACTACAGGTTTCCACAAATCCTGATTCAACCTTTAATTTGCATATGAAATAAAATACATTAACTACTCGTTTCCTACATGGTATCTCATAGCCAGGTGTCCATTTTATATATATATGAGGTAACAATCTCTACAAACTGTTAAATACCATTGTTTCCTTCTAAGAGAGAAAAACAAATTCAAACTTTTTAAACAAGAAAATAGGACTTTACATAAATGGCCATGTGTGTAACCTATACAAATTTAAGCTGATTTTGAAATTACAGTAGACTACAATTAATGAAACCCAAGTGTCTACACATACATTCTTTTCTGTTGAACTAAAAACCAGCTAATCTTGCAAAACTGACAGCTCTAAAAGTCACTATTACCAATTTGTCTACTGTAGCAAGATACCTTAAGTTACAACAAAATCTTAGGAAGTAAGACTGAATAATATCTGTTATAGAAATACCCTACTCTTTACCAACTCCCACCCTCCCCCACCCTTTCAAAATCATAAGCAGCTCTCTTCTGTGACAGACAGATAATGGAAGAACTGAAAGCCCAGTTTATGTAGCATATCTCTTGGTCCACTGTCTGGCCATTCTGTCGTGTTCTGCTCTGTTGGTCATATACTGAGTGGCAATACTTCCCACCAAAGGGTCAGCTGGAAGAAAAATATGTACATTATTTTGGAGAAAGTAAATTAAAACACACAGCAGTTATAACCATGCTCAATGTCTGAGACACCATGCTGTTTTCTTCTAAATATTAAAGACATTTTTTAAAAAGATCTATGTGTATGGATAATCTGCCTGCATGCTATACCTGTAGGTGCTGGGAACTGGACCTGAGTTCTCTGCAAGAGCAACTGGTCTCAACAGCCCATCTCCTAATCTTAGCATAAGGAGAACAAGGGTGGTTAAGAGGAGTCTTGCTTTGTTTTCTTATTGTCCTTCTCTCCCAGCAAGCAGCACTCTTGTTCTCCATGTGTATGACCAAACTCTCAAGTCTGGATACCCAAGGCACTGTTAGAGCACTGTGGTTGCTGTGAAGTCTGTGGCTGGTGCAGCCGACACTATTGTACTCTGCATACCTAGAAACCACCAAAACCCAGATCCCCAACTAAATGTGTTTCTTCAAAACAGAATTCCTAGTTAAATTTTTATGTTGATGCAGAAAAATAAATCTTTTTTTTTTTTTTTTTTTTTTTAATGTTTAGTCCTGAGCTGGAGAGATGGCTCAGAGGTTAAGAGCATTCATTGACTGATCTTCTTAAAGGTCTTAAGTTCAATTCAACAACCACATGATGGCTCACAACCATCTATAATGAGATCTGGTGCCCTCTTCTGGCCTGCAGGCACACAGAGGCAGAATGTTGTATACATAATAAAACACAAAAAACAAAAAAACCCAACAACAACAACAACAACAAAACAAACTGAAATTACATTTGCAAAGATCCTTTTAAAAATAAACAAAATAAAATGATTCGTTACAGTAAGATTAGAATTCTGAAATTTTAAAGTGATTAGTCCCAATAAGATGTGATTCTCTAATCACCAAGTATTTGGCAAAAAAAAAAAAAAAAAAAAAAAAAAAAAAAAAAAAAAAAAAACGTCACTTTCAAAAGTGAGAACTGGCTGTGGGGCAGGCAAGTGCTCACAGAACCACTACCAAAACAGGAAGGCAACAGAGCCACCCACCCAGCCTCAGTGCCGAACACAGCAAGCGGCTGCATTTTCCAACTAGTGGGTTAAACTTTTGATTAAAACATCCTTCAAAAACTTAGGTCTTAGTTTATGTGGGAAACAAGTACCTTTACCTTTTCATTTAGTAAGGAATAAAGTACAAATTCTGAGCCTTACCAGGATTGCAGTCTGTGAGGAGTGAGCAGATAGAGAGGAGGACTTTGGAGATGGTCAGTGCTGGGCTCCAGTTGTCTTTCAATATGTCCAAGCAAATAACTCCTTGGCTGTTAATATTACAGTGATAAATTCTTGTACGAAATGTAACCTAAAAATAAGGTATTGTTAAGCAGCATTCAGGTAGGAGACTTTTTATTGCACTTCAGCTGGCTAATCATAAAACTTAGAAGACTTGACTGTGGTGTTACAGTCTTTCATTTTAAGACAATGCCCATTGCCAAAGGCAAAGGGGGGGGTAACACTTCCTCTCTTCTATAGGGGTTTCTTTTCTTTCCTTTTTTTCCAACTTCCTCTATTCTTTTCTTCCTCTCCTTCTTCTCTTTCTTTTCTTGTTATTTTTGAAACAGTGTTTCTCTGTTCTGGAACTCACTCTAGACCAGCCTGCCTCAAACTCAAATCTGCCTGCCTTTGCCTCCCTGGGATCTGCTGGGATTAAAGGTGTGTGTTACCACCACCTGGCAGGGTTTTTCTTTTCTTGACAGGCTAGCCTCGAACTACATATCCCAGACTAGCTGCAAACTTTAATCCTCCTGCCTATTGCTGTTTCCAGAATGTTGTGATGACATTCTTGGCTTAATTTTAATGTATTAAATATGGATATTTCTAAGTGTGATTTGTTGGTTGTTTGCTGACCTCTTGTGTTAGCTGGTAGTAATAACACTGCTTTTGAGTAAGCTTCTAATCTAGCACAGGTTTTAAGCACCTCTAGAAATGCCTATTGCCAACTGAGGAACCAATCCAATC